CCCGCTGAGCCTGCGCGTCCGGAGTCTGTGCTCCACAATGGGAGAGGCCACAGCAGTGAGAGGCCCGCAGACCGCAAAAAAAAAAAAAAAATCAGAGGAGCTCGGATCCTGGCCGGCCCTTGGCATCACTGGAAAGATGTTTTTTCCAGTTCCACAATTCTGATGCTTGGGCTCCATCCTCAGAGATTCAGATTTCATAGGTCTGGGATGTGTCACAGACATTACTACCTAAATCCATCCATCCATCCATCCATCCATCCATCCATCCATCCATCAATTTTGCCCAGACACTGGTAGTGTGCAGCCAAGTGGAGAGACGCTGCTTCTCCCAGCTATTCCCTGAAGACTTGGAAACAACAGTTGACAAAGGGGGCATAAGAGCTTGACGCTGCTCCTCATGTTTTGGCAAACACTATCTTTTTCATCTCTTACTTAATGTTCAGATAATTGTGGCTAAAGCAATCTGAGGATTGGAGGGATGCCGTTGCTCTGCTGCGGGGGTGAGAATGGAGGTCCAAAGAGGCGGGAGAGGTAATCTCAGCGGCCCAGGCCACCCATGGAGCACTGGGGGTGGGGTGGGTAGTACTCACCTGTGGTATCCAGAAAAGCGACCCCCTTTTCTCTACTGTCTTCTCCTCTGAGGCCAGACACTGGGAAGAGAAAAGGCTTCAGGAGAGAGGCAGAGCCTTCAACCCCAGCCCCACGTTGCTGGAGGGGCCTTGAGGTCTGTACTGCAGCTGCCCTCCGGTTTAGGGAAGGTCCGCATCACCGCGGGCACTGTGGTCCCTCCCCCTGAGATTCTAGTCTCCTTGAACTGGCCGTGGTCTAGAAATGCATATTTTAATAAATGGACAAGGTGACTCCCACGCAGGGAGTCTCATCCACCCCATCTCTTTACTGGGTTGGGAAACCAAGGCTCAGAGAGGAGAAGAAACTTGCCTAAATTTGCACAACTGAGTCCTGGTAATGAAGGGCCAGAACCTACTTCCAAAATATCAGGCCACTTGCCCGCTCAGCAGGTTTCATGCTGCCAAAAAAGACAGTGTCAAAGGAAATCTTGAAATACCAAAGGCGTTCATTCATTCTTTATTCATTCGATAAATACTCACCTAGGGCTAAGCAGTATGGTAGGTGTTTGGTATAAAGAGGTCAAGAGGAAGGGACTGAGTCTCCACGGCTGCAGAGCCTACTGTCTGTGGCTCAGAGGGAGGAGGGAGATTCACGTGTAATCCCACGAGAAGAGTGTCAAACAGGGACCAGCAGGATGCTGGGAGCAGCTCTATCAGAGAACCCAGCCAGGTCTGGGGCATGGAGGAAACCTCACTGCGGAAGTGGCGGAAAGCTAAAACCTGAAAAGTCAGCACTTTTGGATTAGATGCCATTTACTCACACTGCATCCGTTACTGTTATTGTTGCTATGATTATTTTTTCATGTCACATTCCAATGGAGAAGGTGATTTATGTCCATTTTATAGATGGAAAACCCAAGGCACAGAGAGGCTGAAAAATGTGCTATAGTGTCACAGAGTAAGTCAGGATTTAGGACTGGTCTAGTTACCACTGCACTAAGGAAAGCCCCATCTTTTTCCTTCTTAACTTCTTTATTTCCAGACACTGAAATAAAAGTTTTCATGAATAAAATAGTACCGTGGAAGCAGAGCCTCAGCAATTTATAATATCCTTAAAACTCATCTTACCCAATACTGCCTTTGAAGGATGAGAAACTGAGACCCAGAATGTTACGTAATGTATCTAAATCCCACATCTGGCCAGTCTCCGTGTCCACCTCCTCCAAGACCCTGGCAAACACCTTTCTTCTCTCTGCTTCTATGAGTTTGACGATTTTAGATTCCTCATAGAAGCAGCATCATGTGGTATTTGTCCTTCTGTGACTGTTTATCTCACTTAGCAGAAGGTTTATCCACACTGTGGCAAATGGCAGGATTCCCTTCTTTTTTAAGGCTGCGTAATATTCCACTGTATGTATATACCACATTTTCTTTGTCCATTCTCCTGTGGATGAACATTTAGATTGTTCCCTCTGCTTTCTATGTACCCTGTTGGAACTTAGGTTCAGTCAACCGTTGTCAGCCAATTTGGCATTGCATAGATGATCGGGGTTTTTTGTTAAATATCAGAGCTTTGGGGTTAGAGGTAGGGGGAGTCTGTGGATGCCCTTCTTTACAACACAACATGGCTACTGGAGGTGGCGGTTATGTTCTTGATACAATTAAAGGAAGTCTGAGACAGATGTTTATTACCAAGCAGGCCTGAAGCTGTCAAACAAACCCCCCCTCTGGCTTGGGAGAGTCTATCCGGCTCTCCCCTCTCAGGCGCCCTGAGGGGCCCTTGACGCCCACAATCTACTCTTGAAGCAGCTGCAGGGAGATCTGTAGGAGATACCAGCCAACCTCACCTGTTACCTGACCAGGAAGCAGAGCCCTCTGTCAGGGTGAGGGACCGGAGTCATCTGGGCTCTGGATTGCCAAGCTCCAGGGATGCTAAAAGCTGCTGGGTTTGTGGGATTCTTAACACCTGTCAAATCCGAATGATGAGCCCTGGGCTGCAGTCTTAATAACCAAGAGTCTTTCTTAACACTGCTCATTTCATTAAGGAAAAATTATTTCCACCACTTCTTTTTATAATTACAAACCCATGGGTGGATTTTGGTAACAATATTTGAAGTGTGATCTAAATACCCCAGAAGCAGGGATTTCTGAATAGGATGCTCTAGACATTTTTCAAATAAATCGCTGGGCAGATAACATAAAGCTATGTTCTCTTTTTGGATAAAATGACCACCATAGTAGTATCTTTAAGGTAGATGGTATTAGCACTCTTCATACTTAGTCGTGCTTAGTATTTTCTTGCTTTTCGTGGTTTATGATTACCTGTGAAACAGGAATTGTTCCCACTTAAAGAGAAAATTAAAGACCCAAACAGGGGAAATATTGACTGAAAATTACCCTGCTTATAGAGAAGAAATTGGTACAACTGGTGTCTTCTGGAGAAGGAAGTGGCTGACTGGTGGAGCATTTAACTTTTACACCTTTGTACCTTCTGCACTTTGAACTATATGAATGTACTAACTAATTAAAAGTAAATAAAAAATTTAGCATAAAGAGTGATTCCTGCTACCACTCCCCATCCCCAAATTCAAAAGTATTAAAAAAATTATCCTGCTTGTTTGCCAAAACGTTAGGAACAGAAACCCAGCGCCTGACTCCTCTGTGTCATGCATTCATTGTCTTGCTTTACAACCAAATTCATACCATCAGAAAAAAAAGTCAAAGAAAGGTGGGATTATTACAAAAGTGATGATATCAAATAACAATATCTCCCTTTATGAAATTTTCTATCGCTAACAGAAGGTCACAGTTGTTGTGGATTTAATAAGGTCATGAGAATCCGGGTGTACCATGAACCGTAAAGCAATGAGCAGCTCATGGGAACTATTACCATGACGGTTAGAGCTGGAGATACAGGTACAATCTCCATCTTACAGACAGAGAAAGTGAGGCTCAGAGAAGCCAAGGAATTTACCCAAGACAGAGTAAACTAAGAAGGACCACCTGCCCATTTACATGTTGTAAGTAGGAAGGTCATGACATTTTCCTTCTTGGCTTCCCCTTTAAAGGCAGACTCTAAAGGAAGAAAAGATTTCATCAGAGAAATTATAACCCAGACATAACATCAGAGAAAATTTAACCTAAAATAATCCTTTTAAAGATGAGAAAATTATGATGTGGACTTACTTAAAATCCCACATGTAGTTTGCTCATTCATTCCATCATTTAGTCACTAAATATTTATTGACTAGCTATAATAATACTAATAGTTGATCATGTTACTAAGCCTCTAGACTTTAATAGGCATTGTGTGTGTTAGATGCTGGTATAATATGAGCAGATAGATACAGATTCCATCCTTATGGAGCTTATATAGCCTAGTTGGGAAGGCAAACATGAAGGAAATTAAGACCCATGGATATTATTACAAACAATGTTAGATACTTTGAAAACGTTTTGAGTGTATGGAACAGGGAGCCTGATCTAATCTCAGGGATCTGAAAGCCGTCCCTGGGAGGTGACTTTCAGCTGAGATCTGAAAGACGAGTAGTGTGTGAGCAGGACATACCTGGCTGAGGGGGTATTCTGTGTACAGGTAACAGCCTGAGCCCGGGGTCTGAGATGGGCATGAGTATTATTTTGTGAACTGAAAGAAGGCCAATGTGATGGAGCATAAGGAATGAAGGATATGAGGGACTGTAGACGATGGGGAGGTGGGCTGGGTCATGTAGAGCACATAAAGGACTTAGGATACTGTCCAAAGAAAAGTCATTGAATACTTTTGGGGAGGAGGAGGGAGAAATGAGGGAGGACTGGGAAGGTGGCTTAATGAAATGTATGAAAAATGGCTCAGGCTGGTGAGTGGAGAATGGATCATTGAGAGACAAGAGGAGAAGTAAGGAGCTGCTTTGGGAAGCTCTCCTGGTGGCCCGCCAAAGAGAAGATGATGCTTTGGATAAGGATGTTAACAGTGGAGGTGAAGATAATTCTGTTGCATAAATGGGACTCAACTGCAGCAGAATAAATGGGGAATTTATTCTTGCCATTTTTATCAAACTTGTTTGGATTCTGGGCTGAAACGCTGGCTGCTACAATTCTCTAAAGCACAGTGGATACCCAAACATAGTATACAGAACAGACACTTGAACTTCGACCAGACCCACCTGTGTTGTAAAGGGACAGGACACATGCGAGGCCCACGCACAGCCTTACCAGTGGACCATGTAGCAGGAAGCCTGGCATGTCTTGGATACTCTGGCCCACCTGGAAGCAAGCAAGCAAGCACTTGGAGGAAACCAGCTGGATTACTAACCACATTGATGCAGAAGATCCTTGAGAATACTGCATGCAGAGTCATTACAAATACAATTGATAAAAGCCATTGTACAGTTAGGATAGGTGAGGTTATGCTGAGGTAACAAATTAACTCTGCAATCTCACTGGCTTAATTCAGCCATAAAAGTCGATTTCTTGTTGATAGTCTGTACTCTCTGCGTAGTGGTGGGGAACTGCCCTTCACGCTCACTCAGGGGCCCTGGATGATGGAGGTTCCACCTTCTTGTAGGTCTCCATCCCTGTGGCCTCCTTAGTCATTGACTCATAGTGGCAGTGGAAGGGAGAGACCTGGAGGATTATGCACCAACTCTTAAATGCTCTGGCAGGAAGTGACACGCTTACATTCATTTACAGCCTCCACCAGAATTACTCATGTGGTCCTGAATAACTGCAGGAAGTCTGGGAATATGGGAGGGGTGCATGCATATGCAGGGAGAATCAGTGTCTCTTCCATGGGTTTTCCTGCTGTTTAGATGGAAAATACCCTTCAAATACAGCATCACTGCTGCTTATAAATAAGAAGATAATATTAATACACACATACATTTGAGTGTTCACACTCTCTTTCCTTCACTGCAGCACTGTGTGCCAGGCTTTCACCTGGGCATTTGCTGTGCGGAATCAGTCTGACAGTTAAAAGCCGCAAAGCTGAGACTAATAGGAAGGATGGTGAAAATTTATTGAGTGCTTTCTGTGCGCCAGACACCACACAGAATGCTGCCTGACGCACACTGTCACGTCATAACTACACAATCTTGATGTGTAGGTATTAATATATTACCCATTTAATAGGGGCTGCGCAGACTTGATTTGAAAAGAGTAGAAATTTGCCAGTGGTAGAGAACGGAATAGATCTGGAAGGTGACTTGGGGAAGAGGAGAAATGTCAAGAGAAAGTGCACTGGGGTGAAAATTGTCTCAGGAATTGAGCATCTTCACGGAAAATTATATTTTAAGAAGTTTTGCTACCCATTAGGGATAGAACCACCTTTGGAATTTTCTTGAAAGATCCTCGTAAACGTTTAAATTGCTTTTTAATTATTGGTAGATACTTAAGTGGTGTTTCTTCTGGATGTCACCCTGGACAGAGATAGGCCTCACAAGGCTGGGGGGGCGCTTTCTTGGAGTCCTCTTATTCTCGTAAATCTGTCTACTCATTGAAGCTTGTTTTTCCTCATCAGCAAAATGGGGATAAGAGAACCTAGCTCATAAGGTCTTTGTGAGGATTTAAGATAATGAATCTAAAGTACTTAACCCAGTGCCTGGCACATATAGGTGCTCGGTACATAACGCCAGTCATCATGGGCAGGCAGAATCCCCCTTAAGAGCCTGGGCCACCTTGGGACACTCTAGGGCAGAGGAAGGAGCAGGGGTTAGGGTCTCACAGACTTGATTTGCATCTTGAGTGACGTCTGGCTCTAGATACTTAACCTGCATTCACTCAAAAAATCTTTGTTGAGCTCATGGCATTGGTGTTACAAGCACAGACCCTGGAGCCCAGCTGCCTGGCTTTGCTCCTTGGTTTGGTCACTCCTGCTGTGCAAGTGATTAAACCTCTCTCTGTCTTACTTTCCTCACCCAAGGCTGTTATATTTATAAAATACAGTGAATGGTATATGGTGCAGAGCAAAGGCTATGTAAATTCTTAACAAATAAATAAAAGTGTTGGTGCTTCAAAAGATGGTGGTACTCTAAGAGTAAGAAAGAGGAACAATATTCCCCATGTGGATGGAATTACAATCTTCAAGGTTATATTTTACCAAGACTGGATCAGACGTCCAAAAATTTCCTCTGAAACGGAGTCATCATTATTTCACTGCATTTCCCATGGCCATTTTTTTATTCTTTTTTTTTTTTTTTTTTAAGTATTGATTTACAATATTGTGTTCATTTCTGCTGTACGGCAAAGTGATTCAGTTATACATATACATATTCTTTTCCATTATGGTTTATCACAGGAGTTTGAATATAGTTCCCTGTGCTATACAGTAGGACCTTGTTGTTTCCCATGGCTATTTTTGAATAAACAGCCAGTGACACTGGCATAAAAGCTAGTCATGTAGTGATACAATGACAATGATAACATACTCAGTGGGGTCAAAATATGCTGCCCCCAAATATACCACTTTGGCCTATGGATTATTTTGATCTAAAGCCCGTTGAGAATCAACAGGTGCAGAAAGAAGCCTTCTTGGAGCCTCCTCTCTCTGACTAAGAGCAGGTCTGCCATAAATTCTCCTTCCTGGCGGGAGGGGGAGTCTTATGGCCATGAAGGGAATGGAAAGTTGGCACCAAGATGGGACTGCACAAACGAACCTTACTAAAATAACTCTTATCTTCCACTAGTTTCCCCATATATTTACCTTTCCACGATTTAGCACCCTAGAAACTCAAAACCCTTTTTATTTCTTGTCACTTCCCCACAAACTTAACATCCTTCTGTTAAAATGATATAGAAGCTTCAGGGCCTGACCACCTTTTTGAGGTTTGCATTTATTTCTGTGGTGCTCCCATCCCATATGTATATGAAATAAACCTTTATTCCTGCTAATCTTTTTGTCATTTCAATTTGCAGAGCCCCAGATACCGAACCTAAGAGGGTGGAGGAAACAGTTATTCTTTCCTCTCCAACAGTATAATTTATTGAGCCTCCACTTTTGGCTATTATCTCTGTTATTTTGCCTTCTCAAGCATCCCATGAGAGAGACACTGATATTTCAATTATACAAGAGAGGGCCCCGGGGATCGGTGGGAGAGCCCCCTACTCGTGGTCACGTGGCTCTAAGTGGGAGAACTGGGGTTTGAACCATGGTCTCCCAGATACTAAAGTTTGTGTCCTTTTTTTAACCATGTTCTGCTCTAGTCTCCTGCCCTTCAAAATACCAGCCCAGAGTGCCACAAAAGGACCTGAGGTTGGAAACAAACAGAATTGATGATTATTTCAAAGCATTTTGGTGGGTGGAAGGGTAAGAAGTCCAGTCACACTCCCAGGAGAAGCGCTGAGAAGTGTCATTGGGATCCATGATCCATGAATCAGCCCAAGAGGCTTGTGAAATGAATTCACAGTCTGTCTGTGTCTGACTGGCAGTAGCCCTGGAGCTGGAAATGTGAGTGGTCAGAACAAAGCTGCTGGAGCCTTAGTTAAACATTGTATTACTTCCAATTAATGGGAATCACCAATCAACAAAGACTAGTCTAGCCTGCCAAGGAAACCTACCTTTCTCACTGGACTTTGCAGCCGAAAGATGGCCAGTCAGATACAGAATGATGATAATGTCAGTGTCAGGGTCAAAACTCACACTGAAGTCCATCTTGTTCGGACCAGCCCCAGTCAGAGCAGCACGTTCTCAGTACATTGTAACGGCGCACTTGAGACAGGAAGACGAGAGTACAGCCATTTTGAAAAAGGACTGGGGGAAGACCTTGGGCCAAACGGGCCTTGGAAGCAAAAGAACAAAGGCTCTGGGGTCCTGAGTCCCAGAGACGAAAACCAGGCTCACAGGAGTACAAGATTAACTTTATCTCTGTTACACTAAGGAGTATACCTAGTTGCCACAAGACAAGAAGCTCAACTATCAATTTTAACCTTATCTGTTCCGATGTTTTCTTGCAGAGAATTCTCATGCACTCCTTTTCCCTCACCAAAGCGCTCCCTATTCCCGACAGCCACCATGGAGCCACCTGGTGCTGATCAAAGAAGTTTGATGATTTCTGGAGATTAACCAGTGATGATGAGACAAACCCTCCCTGTTGTTATAAAAGCAACTCGCCCCTTCTCAGGGAGCTGGCACTTTCTTCCACCTCCCTTGTGCACAAGCTCTCTCTTTTAATAAAAGAGAGAGCTTTGCTTACCTAAGAGTCTTGTGGAAGTGACATACATGTCTATGGTATTGCATCCAAGAATCTGGAGATAACACTTGCACTCAGCATCCTTCCTGGTGAGGACCAGCTCCCTGTCTGTGAGGAGGACCTAGAGGCCTAGGACCGTACACCCCGGCAGTCGGCTCCACTGCCCGGGCGAGACACTGAAAGGGGAGGTTCTGGCTTTTCAAAAACAGTTCATTCAGAAAAAGAAGCAAAGAATCTATTATTTCTTGACTATCTGAGGTGCCAGGAAGTTTACATATGATATGCACTGGTCCTGGAAGTAATCCCACTTAGGGGTTATCATCCTTATTTTATAGTTTGAGGAAAGCAAGGCCCAGACAAGCAACCGGCCCCTGGGAACGTAGCTGAAAGAGCCAGGAGTGGAATCCCGGTCTGTTTGCCGCCCAAATCCATGATTGATTGGCCTCTGAGAAAGTATAGTTTCTGAGCTGTTGCCTTGCTGCCAGCCATTTTTCAGGACATTCTTTTCTTCTCATTCCAATTCTTTGGATTAAAGATCATGTTTCCTTTATCACAGATGTGAGGACAAGCCATCCTCCCGGCTGAGGACTGCGTTAAGATGCTAATCGATAGCTTAAGGGAAAAAATGGAAAGAAACTGACTGTGATCAAGGGGTGAGTTTTAGCTTAAGTGCAGAGTAAGGGATTGGGTGATAGAAACTCCTCTCCTATCATTCGGCAACCAGGAGCCCAGAGTTTGGGAATTACAGCAGACGCATTTCTTATCTGGCTTCATGCTTTGGGGAGTAGAGGGAACTGAAGGGTTTGCAAATCTCTACGGTATGTGACTTACCTGTCTCCCGAGCAGGATAAATGACTTCAAAGAATTTAAGCAGCCTGAAAGATTAACAGCTAAGTCAGAGCTGTGGGGTTTATATGAGTTCTTAGTGAAAGATACAGAGGGTGGAGGTGGGGAAAGGCTTGATAACTTTGCTTTAAGTCCTCTGGAAAAAAAAAAAAAAAAAGGAATAATAATCCTACCAAGAAGTCACAGTGGTGAAACCGGATCACCTCCACTGGA